TTCTGAAATTTTAAAAAGAAAGAAATGACCGTAATTCTGAGCACACAGTAGCTATTAATATGCTACATTTAACAGAAACCTGGACCAGAATTTAAGGCAGGTTGTATGTCCCGCGTCTGTTCACAACCACTGAGTCCTTCCCCTGTACGCCATTTGCATGGGGCACTGTTCAAACGCTGCGCACTCTTCACACTGAACACCAGGCAGCCTGGTTTGCTTTTTTTTTCTTTTCTGCAGTCTCTGCTATTGTGAGTGCCTAACAAGGTTAATGTGCTAGTGCTGCTAAGTATTATCATTTAGGATGTAATTATTGCATGCGGCTAATCACACACGTGCTGAGAACCTGGGGTGTTTTCAACCGGAGGGAACATCTTAATGATAGTTTTTGACAAGGATCATTATATGTGTACATAGACACAGATATACAAATGTGGTGACACGCTATAGACAGGGATGCCACAAAGGTGAAGGTGGAGAAAGAGAACCTGCCAACAGAATAGATAATTTTGTTTAACATAGTACATGGATGCATAACATTAGCTTCTTAATCTCATTTAATAGAGAAGGAAAAGAAACTCAGAGAGGTTAAATCAAATGCTGAGACCCTGTAGTAACTGGGTGGCAGGCCTAGGATAAGAACAGAACAGAGCTGCTTAACCATTATTATTTTTATGTTTTTTGAGACAGAGTCTCACTCTGTTGCTGTGGGTGGAGTGCCATGGTGGCATCATAGCTCACAGCAACCTCAAACTCCTGGGCTTGAGCCATTCCCTTGCTTCAGTTTTTTTGTTTGTTTGTCTGTTTGTTTTTTCCGCAATTTTTAGCCAAGGGCTGGCTCTGAACCCAGCATATGGGGCCGGCACCCCACTCCTTGAGCCACAGATGCCACCCACAGTTTTTCTATTTTTTAGTAGGCTGGTCTTGAACTCCTGAGCTCAAGCAATCCACCCACCTCAGCCTCCCAGAGTGCTAGGATTGTAGGTGTGAGCCACCATGCCCAGCCTTGCTAAACTATTACTGAATTGATTTCCCATAGAGCCAAATTCAAAGGATAATCAAATGTTGCTAAATCTTAATGCTTACTTTTTGAAAAGCATTTGTAAATACACATCAGGGTTTTAGATATGTTACTAGACACTACACACTGCTTTTTCACGTGGACCACAGCCATGCACAGACCTGGACACTATCCTTTGCCCTCAGAAGATCTTTAGACCAGCCTAAACCATCTTAAAGCAATAATGACAATACTTTTGAATGCTGACCATGTGTACTAAATAATAAGGCATCTTAGAAGTGGCTAGATATGGCTCGGCGCCTGTGGCTCAAGTGGCTAAGGCGCCAGCCATATACACCTAAGGTGGCGGGTTCAAATCCAGCCCGGACCCACCAAACAACAATGATGGCTGCAACCAAAAAATAGCCAGGTGTTGTGGTGGGCGCCTGTGGTCCCAGCTACTTGGGAGGCTGAGGCAGGAGATTCGCTTGAGCCCAGGAGTTGGAGGTTGCTGTGAGCTGTGAAGCCACGGCACTCTACCCAGGGGGATAGCTTGAGGCTCTGTCTCAAAAAAAAAAAAAAAAAAAAAAAGAAGTGGCTAGATAAATGCTTGGTGCACTGTTACATGATTTGGGATAAGATCCACTCATGTTGTTACCTCATTTATGTGCTGTTCATTAATAGGTTCTATGGAGTAGTTTCAGTAATTTTCAAATAGTCCATTTTATCTTACCTCGCCCACCTATATGATTTTTAAAAACTCACAGCATTTTATAATATGGGCATTTTCACAAATGATAGACAGACACATACATACATTCATGCATACATAAATACAGATTTAAAAATCTACCTATATATCTGTCAGATGAGCAGAGAAAAACTTTAAGTCAGAATGGAAGAAATACCCAGACAGATACTTTCTCTTGGGATTGGTGTGGTTTACCAAGGATGCTACAGAAGGCACCCCCAGGCTCAGCCGCTTGGTACCCCCCCCCCAATTCCTGTCCAAAGTTAAGCCAGGGGAATAGGGTGTATCTCTAGATGTCATCCTGATAAAAAGTTCTTCCAACTACGGAATCCTCTATCCGTGGTGAAGACCTGTGCTTTATTCTCATCTACTTGACCCACCTGACCTATCCCAGACCAGACGACCCTGCTTCCCCCAGGATTTTGTGACTAAAAATTTCAAATATACAGAAAATTTGTTCAAGAGTTCGAAGTTATCTCTTTTTCCATGATTGTTTTTTGAGGCAAAAGAATCTCACTTCTAAATCCTGGCCTTTGTCTCTGTTCCTAGCAAGAAGCGAAAGCTTAACAGCCTGCTAGGGAAGAAGCGTTCCCGAGCCTGAGGCTCAGCCTGCTTCCTTCACACTCTCAGAACCATTTTTACCTGACCATAACCACCTGCAAGGTAGGATGGAGGCCCCTGTTTTACAGCAGAGAACTGGACTGGAGCTGACAGCGCCAAGCAAAGGCTTGCGTGACCCCCCAGTCACAAGAGTTCCCCTGGCAGGCGGCTCACACAGTGGCTGCCCTGCTGCCTTCCTCGAGCCCCGCCATGGCGAGCAGAGCACTGGGCAGGCCCTGGCCATTGCTCCCCACCCGTGGCTCTCTATTCCTCTCCTGGCTCACGGCCTCTCCTTCTCCCCCTCTTTCTTCCAACTCTGCTCCGTTACCTCATAAAACTCATGTTCTCTCATTCTTTCTCTCTCATTCTCTTCCATGTGGGAACTAAAAGTGTATCCCAAGCTTCCCTCATAACCGTCAAAGTAGAACAAGTGCCGTAATGAAGAGGCGATGCCCTCAACGTCTAAAGCCCTTGTGAGGACCAAGAGGTCCCTTTCAGAGGAGCCACAAAGGAACCTTCTACTTTCTCATCCCCTCCTAATTAAACCAGCTTTTCCTCAAGTACCAGCATTCTACATGGACAAAACCCTTCTGTCTTCACTCGGATTTTCTGTTTTAATTAATGGCATCACAGCAGCATTGTTCTCTATTACTTTGCCTGTGTGTCTGTTACATTGTACGCTAACTTGCAACAATATGTCTGGACAAATCACCTACTGAATGCAAAACTGACTTAAACTTCTGGAATAAAATAAATCTCTAAATTAGGACCTGCCCCCCCTCCATTTGGATTTAAATATTTGTTAGAAGAATTCCGTCTTTGGAATATTTTCTTTCATATAGAAATTCACAAAGATACAATAGTTCCATCCCCAACATGGCAGAATGCATTTCTTACCTATAAGGATATATTATCATGACTCCCTTATTACAGATGAGAAAACACATTCGGAATAGTTTAGTGACTCACGGCCAATAGGTGGAACAGCCTGCACCTCGGTTTGTTGACCTCCAGCTGATGTTCCCCAAACACCATGATGTGCATCTTCTCTGCTCTGCCTGGTCCCACCCAACATGCAAAGTAAAGCTTCTCCTCATGGACTAGAGCAGGCCATGCCTGTGTGACCCACAGTTCATTCTCTGCATCTCCACACATTCCTGAAAAATTGTTCTGACTTTACCAAATCTCAGGACAGGAAAAGAGATTGCCAAAAGTTCTGAAGGAGAAGTAGTGAATCCAGATCTTTAGTACATTCGAAGCTATTTTGGAGAATGAAGTGTGTATCTGGCAAAGAGACATGAGCTCTGCAATTAATAATCAGCATCTATTATGCATTCTAAATAGCTCTCACCTGGCTCTGAGCTTTTATGTACCTGAGGGCTTTCCTGACCAGCTTGCTCTAATTGCTTCCATACAGGTTGACTAACAAGATGTCCCCATTTAACAAAGGCCTCGTGGGCTGCGTCTAGGCTAAGGGCAAAAGGAGAGAGAGCCCAGACTCAACTGCAAGAGCTGACCCTTCTCTGCAAGCTCCCTGGCTTGTCACTTGCCACTTATACCTGAAGCCGAGGTCTACTGATTTCTTTCTTACACACATACTGACTGCATCCTTCTTTCAATACACTTTGGTGCCCATGGTGGGCAGCTCCCTTGCTACCCACTCTATCCTCCTGTACGTGAGAGACTGGAAATTCAACCACAAAGTTCCAGACCCTCTTGCAGCTAGCATTCCAGACACAAGTTAGGTCCCTTCAACTAGATGTATCCGTGCGAGGTCCAGTAGGCAGAAGCAAAGGGGATACCATTGTCCTGCCACTTTTCAAGATTTTTTTGCTGTCAAGTAAGATTATAAAATGGTGAACTTATTTTTTATCAGCATTATTAAATGTTCAATCTCTAACTGTCTGAATGTTGAGAGGCCACTGAAGCAGTTGGTAGCGGCAGCCTTTGAGTCTGGCTTCCTGAACCCTCCACTGCAGCTCTGGAGGTCTGTCTGAACCACTCTTACCAGTGGTGATGTCAGACATGGCTCTTCCCCTGTGAACCAGTCCTGCGTTGCCCAGATCCACCTCCTTCACCTCCCTCTCCATCATCACCATAACCACAAGCATTTCTTGTGTGCTCACTGTGTTGTGTGGTAGACACCATGTTAAATACTTTACATAAATTATTCTATTTAAACCCCAAAACAACCCCACCAGGAAGGTACACTTAATATCTCTTTTTTCCCAGATGAGTTAGTACAGGCTCCAAAAAGATGAACTGTACAGGATAAGAGCAAAACCAGTGGGTACGTAGCAGGTGGAACTGGAATTCGATCCCAGATCTGACTCAATCCAAAGCCAGACACCTGGCCCTCTAAAGCTGAGGGTCTGGGATATACCAGCAGATTTTAACTGCCCTACACATTAGGTTGCTGACAAGACATCGCTCTCTTCCTTTACACTCTACAGACGCACAGGCTGGTCTATTTCATGTCAAGACACATCTAGATATTGAAGAAGTCTAATTAAATAGAAAGCTATTTAGAAATCCAGAGGTATCTCCTTGTGAAAGCTTGCCTAAGCCACACAAGGTCATTTTTACAGTAAAAATTAAAGAATTATGATGAAAGTGGCCATGGCCTTCCACTTGCCTCTGACATGTACTTACCAGGCGCACGGTTAACAGCCAGGTTTCGGAAATGGCTGCCTTTGATCATTTCCACAGATAACCGCCCTGTCGTGGCATTGTAGGACAGCCCCACCAGCAGTTCCGGGGCCCCTCCATGTGATAGTGACTGGGTAGATGAAGCACTGTCACTGTGAGAAACTGCAGATGGGCTGAGCGGAGACCCCCCACTCTGGAGGGGAAGAACAGCAGAAGAATCCATTGGCACAATATTCACTACACTCTCGCAGAGAAAGCCAACATTACGCTTGGTGAAATTGGGCCCAATGCCCCCCACGACTGCCATAGATGACTAAGGGTGCAGTCCATGTGAATTACAGTGGCCGAGGGAACAGAGTCATGGGTGAGGTCCCGGCATTATTAACTGACATGTTTGTTCCAAGAGCTGTCTCCGCTCAACATTCCCTCTCTAAAAACAAAGCGGACAAAGATGTTATCACGGTGTAAACCAAACCATTTAAGATATAAGGAGAGCTAAGAATACATTGAACACAGAGCAAAAGTCCCCCTGTGTACTCTGTGCTTGAGGGTTTCTCTGGATCCCTCCACCCTAGGCCTGCCTGCCATTTCTGTTCTCTGCAGCCTCTTTCTTTCTTTCCTTCTTGTTTTGTTTTGTTTTGTTTTGAGACAGAGTCACTTTGCTGCCCTGAAGCCTCTTGATGAAGATGGCAACACAGGAGGCATTTGGTCTTCACTACAGAAGAAATGTCCACAGGCCATCCATCATCCACCACCCACTTGGCTGCTAAAGCTGCTTCAGGTTAGTGGGCAGTGCCAGCTGCTGACGTCGCCTTGTAAGGAAGCGGGCCACGCTGAGGATGACACTTTTACAACTCTGTGATAAAGAAGCCAGCACCTGGGCCGTGGATCTCAGGGAACAGACAGGCCAGGGGAGAGCCTACGTGTTTTGCCATGTTGGTTCACGTGCACACATCTCCTGGGCTCCCACCTTTATCACCAGGCACATCAGGGGAAGAGTGAGACAGATAGGATGCTGATTCCCACCAGTCCAGCTGCCCGGGAAGCTGGCCCATCTCCCTGAAACAAGCCCCCTCACCAGAAACAGGTGCACTGCCCTTACACCCTTCTTGTTGACATTTGAAATAGTTTCTTCAAACTTCTCAGGAACTCAATAAATAAAACCGACAGAAGGAATCAAATATTCAGCACAGCTATAGGAAACTATCCTATTTACCAAACCCTGGGCATCTCTGCAGAACCCCAGGCTTTTGTGGAATGTTATTTGTAAGCTACAGGGCTAGGTGGCTGTGATGTGGATTTTACAGCCATCCCCTATATTCTGGAGGATAAAAACCCTACTATGAGGATATTTGCTCACCTTTGGGTAAAGGCCACCCCACCTCCCTGTGCTTCCGCAGAAACCTCTGCTCTGGCACCTGTCACTCGCTGCCTGCACCTCCTCCATCAAATTCTGGATCCGTATCAGTCTCAGCCCCTCGTGTGTAACCTAACGTCTGACATATCATTATGCTCAAAAAATAACTAGTAACTGAAAAAAAAATCCACTTCAAAGTTCTTCCACAGGAGCTCATTTTCCCGTCAGCTCTGGCCCTGCACCCAGCACAGGGCAGGGCACAGGGAAATATAGGTGTGGGCGTGGCCATTCCTGAACATTACAGGGCAGCACTGCTTCTGACCTCTGGGGATCCTGTTTTCCACGATTTCAGATTTACTTTACTCAGAGCTTAGGGAAAAAAGAGATGAGACGTGAGTTGGGTTATGCTTTACAAAGGCTCATTCTGGCCTCTGGGTCAGCAGGGGTCCATAGTGGACAGAGGTGGAATCAAGGGATCACCCCCAGGAGGCTGCTCAGAAATCCAGCAGAGATCCTAGTTCTGGTTCTATTTGAAAGTAGAGCCAATCAGCTTTCTGGTAGCAAAGTGACAAGTCCCAGATGATGGCTACTTGGAAGGGTGGAATTGCCTTTAGGAAAGATGGGGAAGATGGCAGGTGGCATAGATCCAGGGAGGCAAAAATCAGGATTTCAAGTCTGGCAATGTTAATTCTGATCCATCATTAGCCCTTCAGGTGGACACAGTTCCTGGTGCTGCTGTCCAGTCCTTCTGGTCCCTTAGCTCTTCCTCACACACTAGCTCCTCCCCCCTCCTGGTGCGGGCAGGTGTTATTCCCTGCCTGGAATCCTCGCCGTCTATGTACCACCAGTCTCCCTCCCTGAATAACTTGAGTTCTGTGTTTTATCACACCCTCCCCCCCAGAAACCTTCTCTGACTCCTGTAAAAAACAGCAGCCTCTGTCATCTCCATCCTTGCCACTGTGATTGGCCTATCATTGCCTCCTGCACTGGACGGAGAACAAGGCAGGGCCACAGCATCACCTGCCTAGTTCTTTCCTGCATCCACTTTGCCTCTACAGTTCTTGAAGTAAATAGCTTTGAATGAGTGACTGATTGGCCAAATCGTCCAACATGGCTACCGGATCTTTCTACATGGTTTTTCAAAAGATTTTCACATTGGTTGGTACATAACCCACAGCAACACTGTGCGGCCCGTCCTGCAAATGGACAAGCTATGGTGTCTCTCCTTGAAACCTCGGGGCAAGCAGAGAGATGGGGCCCATGGGAGGAGGGCAGGTTTACACATGGCAGGTCTCAGAGGGGCTGAGTTCAGGGCCGCTATTGAAGTCTGCTCAGCACACCTGCAAAGGACCTTCCCTAAAGTCCCATCTCCCAAGTCCCATGATGAGATTTATCATCATGTGTACTGGAGGTGAGAGCAATAGACCCACTTATCCATGATCCAGAAGGCCAAGCCACCTTCCCTGGTTTTTCCATGCCCTCTATCTCACTGCTGCTGTCCTTCCCTAAAATGGACAGGGAATTTATCCATCAGGTTATTGGGAAGACAGGCATGAAAGACCCATTGTACCATGAAGTGCAAATCGTGGCTTATAAGGATGAGGAGAGCCAAATGGAAAATCAAATTACAGTCTCTCAATTCACAAGCTAAAGGTACTAAATCAGGGGCTGACAATCCTAAGTCTTTGAATACACCATGCCATCAGCAGCACCATTTAACATACTCACACTTATATTACTTCTTGGTTCCAGAACCAAGGTCACTTTCATTTCCCCTTCTGGGTGCAGGTGGCTGAGATAGAATAGTTTCTCTCCCATCATTCTCTCTCGGGTCATTTTACGGGCAGAGTATAGGCGGAAGCGGATGGCACAGGCAGCCACATCTCTGGGTTCCAGCTTGGTGAAGGTGACCTTCTCCTTGAAGACAGGGTTGGGCCCTCTCTGGATGTTCGTCCTGCCCCTCTGCTTCTTACTGGGCAGCATCACCACGTGAACTTGCCAGGAGTTGACACCACTTCGGTCCTTATCTGGGAGGCCCTGAGCTCTCACAATGGTCACTGTGAGTTTCTGGCTCAAAGCTCTATATTCAAAGATGACGTCTAGGTCACCACACTTTGAAATGGGCTCTGAGACCCCGGATGGCACCTGCAAGCTGGTCCTGTCCTGGTCCTGTTGCAGGCAGAGGAAAAGATTAGGAATGGAAGTACTGATGCCCACTTACATTTCAGTGAGTGGGTGCCCCTCAGCTCCTTCTAAACATCACCTCCCCTTCTACCAGTGTGTGCCCCCCCGCCCCATTAGACAGATCAGTTTACAGGTTTCTCTCTCCATTCACCTGTGATGCTTTGACAGAACAGTACCTAGCATAAGGTGAGTCTCCATGAATGTTTTTGGAATGAAGAAATAAAGCTTTTATATTTTGAAAAATGTTCTCATATAGATTGCTTCTTAAAAAGCATAGCTGCCTAAGAACACTGAAATCAACCAAGATACAATGGCTGCAACCGTGCAATCACCCCCAGGTGATATTTCCATAAGTCCCCGCAGAAATGACTGAGCCTGGGCCTGTTATCCACAAGCAAGAACTTCCCCACAGATGAAAATCCCAGTGGCAGTGCCAGGCAGGTGATCCCTCAGGAACTTTTCAATCTACTTGGGACAAAGGCTTCTCAAACTCTAGCATGGCCCTGAATCATCCAAAAATTCTGATTCAGTCAATCAGGGGTGGGGTCTGACAGTCTGCGTTTCTTTATTTTATTTCATATTTTATTATTTTATTTATTTTTTATTACAGGTTAATGTGTGGATACAAACAACCAGGTCAAAATATTTGAATTTTTGAGGTAGAGTCCCTCTTGTAGTTGTGACCCGCACTCAGAAGGGGTCCCAAACCTCCCACACCTGCCCATTCAGTGGGATGACCCTGTCCCCCCTCTCCTTTCTTCCCCCCTTCCCCCATTTTGAATTGAAATGAGTTTTTCCCTTAGGTGAACATGCATTAGATTATCTCCTGACTTCATATTAGTATTGAGTATATTAAATATTCGCTTTTCCACTCTTGTGATACTTTACTAAGAAGAATGTGTTTCAACTCCATCCAGGTTAATACAAAAGATGTGAAGTCACTGTCTTTTTATGGCTGAACAGTATTCTGTGGTAAGCAGATCAACTCCAGACAGGACCAATGAGAGTCTGCATTTCTAAGCAGCTCACGAGGGACGTGTGTGCTGGTCTTGGATCACAGGTGGAATAGCAAAGGTCTAGGGAGGAGTCTCCAGCAACTATTTAGCCAGTAGCAATATTGGGCCTGAAGCCAGAATACCGTATTGAAATCCCGACTCTACCCATTAGGAGCTTTTTTGAAGGTCCTGGCCAAAAACAGCTCAGCCTCTCCAAACTCTAGCTAAAAAATGCACATTAATATGCCTGCTTGATAGAGTGTTGTGACATTTTAATACACAGGAAAATACCTGACTCAGATCAGACTCCTTAAGTGTCTATTCCTACCACTGGACTGGCACTAGCTATTCTCAAACACAACTCTCTCTTTATGGCAGCAGTTCTCAACCTGTGGGTCACAATCCCTTTGGAACAATGAAAACACATCCTGCATATCAAATATTGACCTTACGATTCATAACCATAGCAAAATTATAGTTATGAAGTGGCAACAAAAATAATTTTATGGTTGGGAGTCACCACAACATGAGGAACTGTATTTTTTTATTTATTAAATCATAGCTGTGTACATTAATGGAGTCATGGGGCACAGTGTGCTGGTTCCATATACAATTTGAAATATTTTCACCAATGAGGAACTGTATTAAAGGGTCGTGGCCTTAGGAAGGTTGAGAACCACTGCTTTATGGAGTATCACCCTTGGCCAGCAATTCCCTGGAAGCCACTCAAATCCAAAACCCTCACTGGGAAAGCTAAGCCAACCTGCATTTACTACAATGAACCACTCCATCAACAAATTATAAACAATGTCAAATAACTGTCTTTTTATTCTGAAGGTATGACCTCTGCCTGCTGAAAGGTGTCACAGCAGTGCCTAGGGATGAGACTAGAAGTGGAGAAGTTTAGGCCAGGTTTATTAAAAGGGACAGTGACTCATCTGGACAGGGCAAAGATGACGTCTGGGTTGGGGACAGTTAGAGACTTTTTCTATCCAAGGCTGTAGGGGGTGAGGCTAACTAGGTCTGTTGGAAGTTCCTGTAGGGACATGTTAGGCCCCCAATATCTGAAACTGAACTTTGATTCTTATAGCAAATCAATTTGTATTTGTGCAACTGAACACCAGATTTCATTAGTTTAGAGATAGCTTCATTTAAAAAATTATAATAAGACACTTTGAAATGTGCATTCATCAAGGAAATGTTCCCTCTGAATTCAGATAAAAGTACATGGATCTCTGGAATCAAACATCCTTAGCCAGTCCAGCCCTACCATGTACTAGCTCTATGACATTGGGTAAGTTATTTAATCCTTTCCACATTCTTTTCTCCTCAATAGTAAAATGGAAATGATATGTTTCGGGTAAGGAGGGTTGTTTCAGAAAGTAGAAGATTTGATGTACAGTAGACATCTAATAAATACTCTTGTCTTTTAACATTCAAATTAGCCAAAATAGAAAACTTAGATTCTTATAAATTTCTTGTAAGGGAAGATTCTCATATTCTTTCCTCTGAGCATGAAATCATGTGTGAGTGTTTCTATTCAGAGTGATAAAAGTAGTTGCTATAGAGACTTCTGAATACAACTGACTAGTGTACATATAATATTAGAAGCAAGTCTCCAAGGAGTCAGGCCAACTCAAAAATCAAGTCACAGCCTTCTCTCAAACTCCCTTCTCTCTTCTTAAAGCTCCTCAGCTGGCGGTGCCTGTGGCTCAAAGGAGTAGGGCACTGGTCCTATATACTGGAGGTGGTGGGTTCAGCCCCAGCCAAAAACTGCAAAAAAAGAAAAAAACCTTCTCATCTATTTTTGTTTACTCTTGATCATCTCTATATTGCTTGTCTGATCATAAGCAATAATATCTCACATCTGCTAAGCTGTTCCTTATGCCAGCTACCATAGCCAATCCTTCATAGACTATAAAGCCAGCTCTTACACACTCCAGACCTGCTTGCTCTCACTTCCTATCCCATCTCCCCTATAGGCTCAGCTTGTCTGAGTTCCAGGGGGCTTCACTCTGGCACAACTCAATACAGTCTTACCTCCTACACATACAGTGTAATTCTCAGCCCTCACTGTCAGACTCTCTGTTGAAGCCAAGGCTTAGAGAGCTGCCTGACCCTGCTTGACACCCGTGTAGATAAAGTCCAGCATGTGCAGACATCCTATGTAGTCAACTTTCCTCCTCTTGGAAAGATGACCTGAGATCAGTTTATGCAGCTTCCTGGAGGGCGGCCCTCCTGTTTCAAGCAATCCAGTGCACACACCCATACCGGCTTCCCTTCTCCCTGCCTCCCTCCCCTTGTCTTTCCCTCTTGTTCCCTGGGACCAGTGTCCCCTAAGAAAAAAAAACAAAAAAAAAAAACCAGCCTTTGCCTTAGGCTATGTATGCTTTTTGAGGGGAACCCAACTAAGAAACATTGCCTTTTTAAATATTTATATCAACCTAATGAAGTAGGGATTTTAATATCCTCACTTTATGGAAGATGACACTAAAGTCTAAATAACTAACACTCCCCGAACCCTGTGCCAACATCATATGCCCAGACAAGATTATTCAGGATTCATACCCTGGCGGTCTGAGTCCAGAACCTGCTTTAACCACAGTATTCAACACACAAAATCCCAAATCTTACCTTGAAGGAAAAGGTTCCTTGGTTTCCCCCAAACCTTTCCCCATAGCTATTTACATGTACAATGAGTGTGAGATGAGAGGTGAGAAGGGGGTGGAAGGACGCAATCCCATGAACTGTTCCTCTCAGGCCTCTACCGTCAGTATTAGTCAACAGTCCCCACTTCTGCCTCAACTTCAATTCCAAAGTCAAACTATCCTAGGGAGGCAATCTCCACTCACCTGCAGGCTATCTATTCAAAGAAATGATCCTTCCCTATGGGTTTCAGGGGAGTCCTAGGGAGAAGTCTTAACTGTCCCAGGAACTCTGAATAAGGCACAGCCAGACTCCGGATGAGCCAACCAAGCAGTGACCCATGAAAATCAGGCTTTGTTTCCCCTTTCTGGGTTGATTTGAGAAAAAGGTTTGTGAAGGTTGGTATTTTCATAGCAATTAATTATTTCAACACACTTCACCTATCACCAGGCAACGGAAGGGCTCCTCATGTGGGTACTGTTAATACCACTAATCCATCTGACCTTCCTGCAAGGTAAAAATCTCTTCATTCTTATCCCCATTTGGCAGATTTTAATTAACTTCTCAAGGCCAACCAATTAATCAGGGGAAAACAGAGATGAAAAGTAGGACACCTGTCTGCCTGTGTGCTCAAAATCACCAGCCGCTCTCCCATTGTGTTCCCTGCCCAGCCCTGGCCTCCCCGGCAGAGAATGAACTGAGCTTGAAAAGCCATCAGAATAACAGGTAGTCACACGGCACGGCCGGGTTCCTTCTGTGGCAAAACAAACTCTTCTTTGAGCTCTGATTTCCTAGGTTTTTCTTTAAGATGGGAACACTTGTGTCAGATTGTCAAAATCCATGCAGGTTTAAAGATTTTCTGTCAAACTGAAGGCCTTTCTGTTTTAGCAAGAGAGCGTTGATGTCATCTGTGTGGCCCAGAGTAAACAGACCCCCAGCGTGTTCCCGAGGCCAGTGGGGGAAGACAGAGTTCTTAATACTGCTAAGAGGCAGATAAATCAATTTTTTAAAAGGCAAGCTCAGCCTGCAAAACAGGCAGTTACGGGAACTGCCTCTGAGCTGGGGTGCAGCTCTGCTGTAGGAGAACCAAATTACAGTTTTTGTCTCAAAATAGATAGGAGGTTGAATGGAGCACACAGAGATGTCTGGGTATTTCTGGCATCTGAGAACATCTAGTACCCTCAACTCCACGTCTCCCGCTACAGCTCCAGCAGGCAAGAAAAGGGCAGGTCACCTGAGGAAGGCAATTCCCAGCCGAAAGGCACAGCTCTCAAGGAGACAGAGGATTAACAGGCAGGTGAAGAGCTCGGTTTGGGTTTTGTGGTGAAAGCACAGAAGTATTTTTAAAATTTATTGTGTGGGATTTGACATGACTCAGTAGTAAATCCATGGGAAAGCAGACTTTTTCTTTCTTAACAAAATTCATAAAGTTAATCTCTTTGGCTGCTTTTATATGAAGGGCTGCTTTTAACAAACCACAAACCACATATCTAAGCTACCATTTCGCATCCTTAGCAGAAACACCAACAACACAGGAGCATCTGGCGTATGCCTCCACGAGCCCCCCACATGCTCCAACGTGTTAACAGTATGGCTTTGGAATGTGAGTTTCTGTGATTTTTTTTTCTTTGTCCTGAGCATTTATGATGTGGGACAGTTCAAGTCCTAATAAGAGACTCGTCCTGCTTATTTTCCTAAACTAATGCTAATGCTCCTCCTTTTTCCTCCATCCCCACAAACTGTGTTCATCTAAAGCTTTATACACTTACATGACTTATCCCATCAAAATGAATTTCAGATTATGTACCAAACACTACTGATACTTTTCAATGTCATGAATCCCAGTAGGAGGGCTCTAACAAATGAAGAAAACCGCAGATGACTGAAAGATAAAACAATGCCAGTGAAATCCTATCACAGGGTCTGGCACGTAGCAATTGCTCAATTACTGACAGGTACTACCATCCTCACCTCCAGCCATGTCTGTGCACTGTTAGGGTTATTCTTGACTGAGCATTAATTGAAAAAGACATTCAAGGGGCAGCGCCTGTGGATCAGTGAGTAGTGCGCTGGGCCCATATACCGAGGGTAGCGGGTTCAAACCTAGCCCCGCCTAAACTGCAACAAAAAATAGCTGGGCATTGTGGTGGGCACCTGTAGGTTCAGCTACTCAGGAGGCTGAGGTAAGAGAATCACCTGAGCCCAAGAGCTAGCTAGAGGTTGCTGTGATGCCACGGTACTCTACCGAGGGTGACAAAGTAACACTCTGTCTCTAAAAAAAAAAAAAAAAAAAAGGAAAGAAAGAAAGAAAAAGACATTCAAAAAAAACATCTTTTATCAGAGATTTACTCCAAAAATCAACGTCAGTGGGCCCAGGCCACTGCAGACTAACACTGTCTCCCAGACTTTCAACTAAACTCAAAGCTAACAAATGCACTCGCTCACACACCAAGATCCTCATCAAAATATCTTGCATGATTTCATTTGGAGGGCTATTTGAGTTCAATTTTCAAGTAATTTTCATATTAAAATAATCATAACTCAAGATTCAGGGTAAACAAAAATAGCCTCCATCTAATTCAAGGCATGAAAGAAGCCAGAAACTCTAAAGAACTAAAATGTCTATTATTTAAAATTAATCCTGCCAAAAGCCTTTCTATGAAAGAAACCTTGACTATTCTTGGGTCCATTCTGCCACCATTCTTATTATACTTTACTTCTTCCATTTTAAAAGAAATTATTTATAAATCTTTTATTGACACACATAGGGGCTTGAGTTATCTGCACAAAAATTTGTTTCAAATACATTTTTTAAGGTCTTTGATTTTTAAGACCATACTTCCTTCTGGAATTTTTTTTTTTTTTTAGGGGGATGTGGGGGGAAAAATAGAAAGGAAGGGGAGAAAAAGAAGAACGAGAGAACCAGTGGATGTATACCACTAAAATAGGGAAAGAACAAAAACAAATAACTTGCCTCTGGACTCCACATGGAGGAACTGTCAGTGGCATAGGAATCTTCAAATCCCCGGTTATTAAAAGCTGTCTCCATCTCCAAGCTCCCATCTGTGGATTGGCGACTGAGGCTTCGGGCCTCCCCGGATTCTTGGTGAGATGTTCCAGGGTGCCTGGTACCTGCTCTCTCACATGGGGACTGTGCATGAGCAGAGCTGGGGTCATCTTCACAATAAGACAGATTCTTAGAGTAACTCGGTGGGCTGGCTCCATCCAAATCTAAATTTGAAATAGGAAACTATTTCAAATGCATTATTTTTAACACCTTTTTAAATAGAGAATTGAGCAATTGCAATCACAACGATCAAGACCCCAGAAATAAAACCCGTATCAATAACACCTGAAGAAACATAATTCCACCTACACAGTGGAGAAACTGGTCTGTATAATCAAGGAAGCCATTAGCTCATTATCTAGAAGCCAAGAAGTTTAATACTGTCTCATAAAATTAGTATAAATAATGTATATTAATTTTAGAAAGATAAATAATCACAATAGCATTATATTAGTGCTAATAACCTCAAGAGTTCAGGAATGGATCTTGAAAGCAGAAGAGTCACCTACTACTGAGGTGAGACGGTTTCCTTTCCCTCTTCAATGTTCACTGTATTACTCACATTCTGCTCAAAAGGCTTCAGTGATCCTTCCAAGTGAAAAGTTCCCTACTTGATTCATGGTAACAACACTGGACTTGGAGTCAGGTGATATGAGGTTAAATCCTGCCTCTGCCTTAGAATGTGAACAATATTCAAACTCTTGTTGTGGACACATGAACTGAAACGCACCTGGCAGATAGAGGACTTCCATAAACACAGCCCTCCTTACCTGCCTGGCCTGAACTGGCCTCATCCAATCCTTCAGACTCCATTCCCCACTGCTTCCCAAGTTACATTCAGGCTCATGAAAACGAGCTGTATATGTCAGGCCTCAGTGCTCCTCAGACCCCCCTCCTGTCCTTTCCTTTCTGTCTGTACAAAGCCCCCAACAATTCCTGAATATTCCCTGACTCTGTCAGACTCAGTGCTTTCTCTCTTAACCCCCAGACCCCCATTCATCCTTTCCCCCTCCTTCCGTGTGGAGGTTGCCTGAGTATGATAAGGAAAACTATCAGATTCTCCTGAGCAATGGCCTTTACCACAATTTGGCTCCTGTACCCAGAGAGCAGCTCATGATCTCTCATCCCTTTGGCCTCCCATGTCCTCCAGCAGCTCCCATCCCATAATAAGAGAAAATCAGAGATTTAAAAAGGAGTGAGTATGAGAGCACAGTGTATGATGAGTTCAGCTCTATGTACACGATACATGGCAGCAACTATTCCACTGTCAGCTCTTATAGACCTCAGCTGGAATGTGGCTTCCTGAAGACACTACGCCACCCACCTGCATCTACTGTGTGAGCTTCACCCGCCCCCCAGTGTGTTCTCACTAAACCTTTAAATAACCTTAAAGTCTAGGCAAGTAACAAACATCTGAAGCAGCCAGGTGTGTAGCTATATAAGGTCTGAGAACTAAGTTTGTGAACTGGCCACAGTGTGCTTTTAGCATTGTACAAACAACTCAGTAACATTTCATAACCCTTGGTATATCAGTGTCTCACAGCTGTGTTTGTGTCAACAGGTGGTGTCTTGTGAGTGGCGTTCATTGTTGTTGTCACGTGGTTTTGTGTGCTTTCACAAGAATGTCAAAGCTTAAATTAGAGCAATGAATAAATTCTTAAATTTGTTATTAAACTTAGTCTAAGTGAAATCAGGGACATGTTAGTCCACGTTTATGGAGATAATTCCATTAAGAAAACAGGATTAAATGTTTTTCTGAAGGGAGAGAAAGCATCACTAATGAAGAAAGATCAGAGTGGCCAGTAGTGAGTAGAACTAACAATAACACTGCAAAAATCTGTTGAGTTATGTGTCAAAATCATTGGCTGACTGTGAGAAGCATAGCAGATCAAGTAAACATCAGTATATGAACAGTCAGGAAAATCTTGGCCAACAGCTCATGGCTCTTGCATCACAGCAATGCACCAGGTCACACGGCACTGTCTGTGAGTGAGTTTTTAGTTGGTAAACAAGTAACTGTTTTGGAACACCTCCATATTCACCTGATCTGGTCCCCAGTGACTATTTTCTTTATTTGAACATAAAGAAAATATTGCAAGGAAGACATTTTGATACCATTCAGGACATTAAAGGTTATACAACGACAATGTGATGGCCATTCCGGAAGAAGAGTCCAAATTTGCTTTAAAAGGTGGACCAGGCACTGGCATTAAGTGCACAGCTTCCCGAGGGGGGTACTCGGAAGGTGATGGAATGATGTTTAGTGCTGAGGTATGTAGCACCTTTTCTAGAATGGTTTGCAAACTTAATTGGCAGGTCTCATAAGAGTGGTGGTGGTGACAGTGGTTTACCAGAGAGTACATGACCTATCTACAGTGAGCATTCTAGCTTAAAAATGTATTATTACCCTATGCAGACCATATAAAAACCTTTTTAGGCAGATGTGGTCCTTGGGGTACAACATCAGACTCCTGATTTTTTGCAAAACCCAAAGAGGCCACTGAGAAATTTCCCTATCTGTTCTGTTATCCTTAATAATTCAGTTCAGGTCCCTTGGAAACACTTTCATTAGAGACCACAAAATTTTTATATTCACACTTTCAGTTATTTGGCAAATATGCTAAAAACAAGCCGCATGAATGACAGAACAAGCAAAAAATCCACATGTAAAAACCTACAACATAAAACAGAATTGGCATCCAAGTCTCCAATTAGCACACCCACTGCTCACATACGTGACCAGTAAAATGCCCCATTAAACAATGGGTCATCCATCAGTATGTGTAGCACCCAGCAGGATTTCAGCACAAAGTCTAAATTTGCCAAGAAATTATCCCCATAAAATTGTCTCATGCCTTTAACGCCTACAGTGATAATACCGAGATCGGTAATAAGGGAATTTTCAAAAGCTACATTAAGCCTTGAAAAGCTATTCAGAACTGAAAAACATAAGAACTATATTAATGTAATAAGCCATTTTCCATGACAGACAAGTAAGGAACATATCTGAAAAGCAAATCTGGGGTAGAAGTCAAGTTCCGAGGAGGAGGAAAGAGAGAGGTGATTCACCCTGACATTAGGCAGTCTTCTTATGCCTTTAAATTAAAGAAAATTATGTCCTCTTTAAACAGGCGCAAAAGTAATTGCCTATTATCAGAGAAACATATCCTGACATCTCAGAAATAACAGGCCCTCATTACATCACATCAAATTTATTTTAACACAGAAATACTTAAACTTGTTTTGTCCATATCCACTGATTGAATAAACCCCTATTACTGGCCAGGTGCAGTGGCCCAGGCCTATAATCCCAGCACTCGAAGGCCAAGGTGAGAGGATTGCCTGAGGTCAGGAGATTGAGACCAGCCTGAATAAAAGTGAGACCATGTCTCTACAAAAAATGGAAAAATTAGCCAGGCATTGTGCCAGGCACCTGTAGGTTCAGCTACTTGAGAGGCTGACGCAGGAGGATTGCTTCAGCCCAGAAGGTTGAGGTTGCAGCGAGCTGTGATCATGCCACTGCACTCTAGCAGAGGTGATAGAGTGAGACTCAGTCTGAATAAAGAAAAAAAAAACCACTATTATCTAATTACTTTCTTTCATACTCCCAGCCCCTTCTCCTCAATCACCACACCCAAATACTCCTGCTTACCATCTGTGATGGTCAATTTTATTTGTCAACTTAGCCAGGCTATAGGTGCCAATTATTCAATCAAATACTAATCTGGGTGTTGCTATGAAGTCATTTGTAAATATGATTAAAACCCATTACCAGTTGGGTTTTAAGTAAAAGAGATTATCTTATATTCAGTTAGATCATCTTATATTCATTTCTGCAAACGAGAAGTGAGGCTTCCCTGGAGATGAAGAAATTCCAGCTAAGAACTGGAACTTCAGCTCATGCTTGAGAGAATCAGCCTACCTTTCTGGACAGCCCGCCCTACAGATTTTGGGGCTGTGTATTTCTGATGCCCAGTCATCCCCTACCCTACAATCACATAAGCCAATTCTTTGCAATGAATCTCTGGAGATGCGCACACACACACAGGTATGTGTGAACATGCACACTGTGTAGCCATGTGTGTCTGGGTCCTCCTGGTGGTTCTATTTCTCTGGTTAAAGCATGATTGAAACATAATCCCAAACAAAACTTAGCAAAGATTCTGGGGAAAATAGAGCTGCTTTTGATGCCACCAAGAAGGTATTATCTAGCTTTTATTAAAAATCCTAAGAATTAACTATTCCATAGTCAAAAATAAGGTCACTGCTCAAAAAACAAAAGCCCCAGTAAGCAAGGGAAGCCTCCCCCCACTTTATTGGACTATGACTCTGTATCCCGTTTTTCATGTCTAAGAATCCCACCCCAGCCTCTGACCCAGACCACTCAGACATTATCAAGAATACAGTGACAAGGAGCAATGACATAAGTCGCATACCCAGGACAGAAGAGAACTTGCTGGAATACGCCTCTAATAACCTCGCCACTGAATTCAGAAAAAAGACTCTCACATACAGTGAAATGTGAGGTAACCAACCAGAATCTCATGCATGTTCCAGGTTGTATTTGGACCTTTAATTTAACTGTCCAACACTTTTGAATACATTTTTAAAGAGAAAGAATTATCTGCAATTAAATTTAATCTTAGAAAACTATTTTTTATAGCAGAACAAAGTAGATAAGTAAATAAAGAACAGACCAAACGAATCCTTTCTGGGGTGAACATTTACTCTTGTCATTATTCTTTATCACTGAAACAAATGCACTGAAGTAAAAATGAATAAGAAGAAAAGAAAGACATCAAGGAATAAAAACTACATCCACATTTCCATGGTACTGGCGTGTCGCTGCTGCTTATAAAAGTCCTGATTTTCTTCAGAAATGTACAGCTAATTCATTCAACGTGCTGTGCTTTGTCCTCTCTCCAATAGAGAAAAATTTACCTTTTCTATCACCATCTTTCAAAAGTTCAAAATTACCAGTTAGATGAGACAAAAGTCACTGCTCATTCCAAGAGGGGGAGAGTGGGAGCGCTGTCAGGAATCTCAGAACACAGGTCATTTGTGTAAATCAGAAACCAGACCCTTAGGCTTTGGGAAGCAAAGCCATTAGCTTTAGGATTAAACAAGTTATTCTCAGGGAACCAACTGCTAATGACTTTCATTAGCTAATGTTTACCCTCTTGGTGGAGAGAAAGGAATGCTGTGATGTCACTAACTCCAGAGAAAGAGAAAAACCGAGAAAGTGAGCCAGGAAATGATGGCAGGGCGGCAGCCTCCACACTGTGACTTGGTGACATCAGCTCTTCATTTATTTGCTTCCTCTGGGCTAAAAGGAATAGCAGTATGATACACCACACGACCTGTGTCACTAAGTCCACGGACCTGATGGACCGCACACCAGTCCTGCCGCAGGAGGTTCCCGCTGTTGAAGCTGCCTTTCCCTCTGTTCTTTCTCTCCTTGTCCTGTCCTCACTCTTAAATCATAATTTCTGCTCTGTTATCTTCTGTTTCTGCGCTCTGCTTTTTCTCTGCCTAGTGTGGAAAACATGAAACCCCCGCCACTCTCCCCCCATTGGTTTGACTGACCACAAACCCCAAAGGAAAGAAGGAAGAGCTCAGAAAACACAGGTCACTGAGACCAGGGCATGAAGGTGACCAGTGCGACATTTTCTTCAGCTTTTTGCCAAACATATTTCACAGACCCTGCTCCAGTATCTGCATCTGTTCAGGGCTTTGGGCATGAAGAGCCAGAGAGAGGCCGTGAGCTCTTTGCTTAGAAATGCACTAAGAAATGTTGTCCATCTATTTACATCTGCTGTCCAGGGGCTATTTTGTGTAAGTGTTGGCAAGCACCACCACCATCACAGCCTGGGCCTACCCCACCATGAAGGAGCCCCTCCTCACTGTCCGGTGATGACATGAGAGGGCGACAGAGGCTTGGTCTTCAGGCAGTAACTCTCAGGCAGGTGGGGCACTTCAGAAATGGCAGGGACCCAGGGAAGGAAGCCTGGCCTGTGTTACTTGAAGAAGGTCACCTCTATTACCATACTGTGTATTTTTATTTGGAAGGTAAAAAGTACCTATTGCTTTAATAATATAAACTAGTTAGAAGAAAGGCTTTGAAATACCTTCTGAGGTTTTACAGACATAGGGAAAATTAACTCTAACTCTAAATGAAAGGAAAGCCTCAAAATTTGCCTGTCAGTGAACAGACCCATGAAATTTTAAATTTGTCAAAAGGGAACAAAATTATACAAAGCTCAGTAAGTGCCTTCTGGTTGTTAGTGTTCACAATGTACAGGGCAGTGATGTGCAAGGCAGGCAGGGGTCCACAGTGAGGTCAGGAGTTGCTTCAGTCCCTCTGATTCCCTCTCCTCACCTCCTCACAACACCCCCCCACCCCCCAGAGCGGCAGGGAGTGGAATTAATCAGCCCTTGGCAGGGGGGTGGGGGGGAAGGGAGTGGGAGGGGTTAAGCAGCCCTGGGTGTGGGGGGTTAGGTAGCCCTCGGTGGGGTGGGAGGGGGTTAGGCAGCCCTGAGGGGGTTGGGGGTTGAGCAGCCCTCAGCATGGGGTAGGGTTAAGCAGCCCTCGGTAGGCGGTAGGGGGCTAGGCAGCCCTTGGCGTGGTATGAGGGGTTAGGCAGACCTTAGCCCGGGTGGAGGATTAAGCAGCCCTTGGCAGTGGGTGGGGTGTGGGGGGTTAAGCAGCCCTGGTGGGGGTTGGGGGGTTAGGCAGCCCTCAGCCGGGTGTGGGGGATAAGCAGCCCTCAGCAAGGGGTGGAGGGTGTGGGGGGTTAGGCAGCCCTAGAGGAGGGGTGAGGGTTAGGGCCTCAGCGGGGAGTGGGGGGTTTAGGCAGCCCTAGGAGGGGTGTGGGGGGTTAAGCAGCCCTCAGTGGGGTGTGGGG